ATTCAAAATTCTTAGAAGACTGAGGTGAAGATAAGAGGGAGATAAGAAAGAGTGATGAATAGAATCGTAAATGCCTTATATTAGAAAGGAAGGGCACAACAAACACAAAAGGTTTGCAATTTTTTTCCAATAAATGTGAACACAAATCTTCTGGGAAATAAACATGGCACAAACAAGCGTCTGCGAATACCACGAAACCTTTCACTGGATCTGAGAGGTTGAAAAGATTCTCTACCAAGAGATAACAGTTGTATGTGGACAATTGACATTGTTAATTGAGTCCTCCTTGAATGTTTTTCCAGGACATGATGAAATGTATTCTAGGGCATACCACATGGAAGGTTAGGTTATTCGAGGATTGACAGTTACACTAAACTACAATCACACCTAGAGCTGGAGGACAAAAGGGAAAATGACTTTGTTCATAACCCATGGACACCATGACATGGAGCAGCTTCCTTTGGAATAACACTGCCTGAGCGGCGCCTCAGGTACCCACCCCACCAGACACCCTTGCTTCCATGTTCCTACCAAAACTGTTAATGTTACTGTCGCCACTGTTGCTGTCCCTGCTGTTCCTGCTGTTGCTTATTTGACTGCTGCTGCTGGCACTACCACAGGTGCAAGCAGAAGGCATAAAAACATGTCTTCTTTCCTTCAACTTTCAATTGTCCTGCCTCCCCTTGGATGCAGCTGGCAAAGGATTCTGGGAAATGTGTTTTGCTGTCTTCCTGTTACTGTGATAAAGAGAAGGATAGGGATGCAGCCACATGTGGCCTTCTGGATCCTTGAATGTGCCTTTCGACTGAATCCAAATTTTACAGAACAAATACTTTTAATAAAGGGATTTTTTTCTGTGAAGTTTGGATTCTGTGGAGGGGCCACACTTGGGGATCTGGAAGACCACATGTGGCCTTGAGGCTGCAGGCTCCCCACCCCTTTGAGACAGGAGGTTGAGGGACTTAGACATAGTCAGTATTTGCTAAATAGTACTGTAAGTTGTCATTTTATAAGAAAAGAGAAAATAAATGACTGACTATATAATGTCAAAGAATGACATATAGATTTCTAGACATAACTTAAGATTTAAGAATGAGTAAACAATGTATATCCTCAGTTTGGACCAAAAAACGACTTTTCTTGACGTCTAGTTGAACATTTCAAAAGAAATTAAATTAAAACTGACTACAAAAAATTGAATAGAAACACCCATAATCTAATTACTATAGAGAATACAATGTTAACTATTAGTAGAAGAGATTCATACAATTTTGCACTTAAAACATTGGTACAGCAATGAGATTCAATGCTGAAAAAGACATTGGTATATCTGCATACCAATGTTTAGAACGTGGGTGATAAAGTGTTTTCATGGAATAGTGGGGTAAATGAGACCTCATAGGTGATACCAAGAGAGGAAGAAGAACTCATGACTGGAATCCAAGATGAAGTTAAACCTTAATTCATAGAAATCAGTCTGTTAGAACAAGAGGCACTGGTCACAAAAATAAGGAAAATTAGAATCTTAGTTTGTAGTGTAAGAACCTCTTTTAGTGAGTGAAAACTATTTTGGACACTTAGAAGAAGTGATTATCAGCAAAGGAAAAGCTGAATATGGTCAAATATGTGCTAAGGACTTAGCAAAACATATTTTAAACTAAGGAAAAAATCTATAATGGAATATAACTTGAGAAGGGAATGTCTAGAGATTTAATTTGGGTCCTATAATTTCAAATAAACTCTATGGTAGAAAGAGGTAAGATATATATAAAAAAAAAAGCTAGAGTAGGAGCACTAGGAATTCTCAAACAATTCTTGACTCAAGGTCATTTTAAAAAATTGTAAGAATTTTAAAAAAAGGTATTTTTCACTAGGGAGTAGCAATGGTTCTCTAAAAACAGATCCCGTGGCACAGCTATTAAGTGGTAGAGCCAGGACTCAAATTCATGGTTGCCTGAAATCTATGATTTCTCCCCTTGGTCTCTGGAACAAAAAGGGAATTCAAGCAACACACACCCTGTTATAACAGAAAATTATCCCTTTTATCCAGTCATTACCTACAGAAAAAACTCATGCATTTTAATTCTTTCTGTCCTTGGGGTATATTCCATTCCCACCTGGAGTACTGCTTAGCTGAATAAGGGGAGGCTTCAGTTTCACAAAGACGTATAGTCTTGATTCTGGAGCAAGGTATTACTCTCATTATGCCAAGTCATTGACCTTCTAATACAGCTCCTGAAAAGTCTTCATGCAAATAGGCATCCAGTGCGCCAGTCGAGTCAGCCCTCGAACATGCCCAGGAGTATTTGAATACACAATGGATGGGGATGTGAATTTTAGGTCCTTGGCTATGAAAATACTCTCCAAGCATATTATAATTTTCAAAAAAGTGGATTAGATAAAAAAAAAGTGACATGTAGAACTTAACAATGGATTATCAATGCAACTTTAT